AAAAAAAAAGTTAGTTGCCATGTTTGTCACCATATTTTGCGAAGGACCCTTGAATGTACATAATAAGCCACCAGTCAATGTGTTACTCAACTTCTCACACATACCCTCACATCTTATTTTAACATTGTCCCCAGCTCTCAACCGGCTGTCATCCTTGTACCACTTCCCATCCACATCTTCCCAGTTGACCTCACAGATAAATGTCACACTCTCCCTCTCGGTTACACTGACATTCTGAAGAGTCTTCACAATCTTTATATTCCTGGCTGAGAGAAAGTAGACATGACAGTAAAGAACTGCTACTGTATCACAGGCAACTCTAATAACTTTTAAACTGACAAAAGACTGTAAATTATCCAAAACTTCTGGGTTCTGAGACATCCCACCCATTATCCCACAAAGAAATGACTTTATACTGCATTAAATACAGGTTGCATATTGATGGAATAGTACCTGTGACTGTCAGCATAGCAGAGCTTTCAATCCCTTCAGCCTTGAAACTGATGACACCCATGTCAGCAACCATGACGCGCGTGAGTGTGAGTGTGTGTTTTTTGCCCTGCGTGGCAATTCGACACACAGGCCTGGATTTAAGTGGGACTCCATCCCTGCTCCATTGACCCTGGACGTACGCATGACTGAGGACCACCTCAAATGTACAGGCTTCTTTCTCACACAGCGTCACATCTTCTAGCCCTTTTACCAATTGAATTCTATTCACTTCAGACAAAAATAGAACAATTATCAGTAACAAAAGTTATTTGTAACAAAAACTGCCCTATACGAAGCCCGCAAAGTGACATTTGAGGGGAAATTGTCGCATGCTCAAGTTTTCTAGCTTTTACTTGCGCGCGCGATACTGTTGCGTGAGACGTACTCGCGCCAAATTCTTCTATTGAATCGTGCGCATGCGAAATTGCGAATGTCACTTCAGGGACTGCATATCTTCTTAACAGCAGCAATAGTGTAAAATAAAATATGATATAATAAAATTCTGAATACTTAATTAATAAATGAGTCTTACATGCCATGTTTAGGAACTTGTCTTCTCACAAGCCTTTAGGAATGGCCAGCAACTTCAACATTAGGCCTACTGCTCCAAGTTGAATTCTAAAAAGTGTAATCGTATACTCATGGACATTGTAAAATAAAAATAACCCTTTTGTGTATCACAGAAACAGATCTTATTGGTGAATACAACCTGTGGCTGCTCTTCTAATATGAAATATGATACTGACAGAAATAATACTCCCTGCAGCTTACACTCCCTCCATGTAATTAGTTAATAATTTGGAATGCACCGATGTCTCTGCCACTCTAGCTTACTTTATGGTTGGTTCATTAATTTTTGTCCATATGTGCAGATAACTGATGTTTGTCTGGGTCAAATAAAGAGACAAAGGCAGTAACTCCCTACACACTTCTTTCTCACATTACAAACAAACTCTTCTCCCAGTTGTCCCATTGGTATGTCACCAGCTTTCAATTAATAGTTGGTCTCAAGTGTATATAATACTTTGAAACATGACACCATCCTTGAGATTAAAACACAGAATAAGTTATGAATATTGTAGTTTTTTGTATTAATCAGACTACACAAAACAACTGGGAATGTAAATGGTCTAAAATTAATTTAAGTCTCAAATCTTCTTTGTGAATCATGCACCAGAACAACAACTTGAGATCAAGCGTGAGAAAAAAGTTCATACTGACCAGATTTTTAAGAAGGAACAAATGGATGATCTTCCGTTTTACTCACCATTAGCCAAATCTGACATTTTCCTCACATAAAAGTCCAAAAGAGAC